TACTCGAGTCGTATCCCTCTATATATATATATATATAGAGATTAATGGGTATCCTTGTCATAGGAGGGGATTTCCTCCTATGACGCCTCTAAAATCACATGATTGAGCGACATTGTGGATGATCCGCTCCGTTAAACTTGATTTACATATTCTAAAACCCCAACACACCAAGTTTGGGGTGAACCCGTCGTCGTTTGACCCTTCATCCACTCGTATCAATTTTAACGGTTTTGAATGAATAGAACTTTTCACATGGCTCGATGGAGGGTCAAACGGACGACGGGTTCACCCCAAACTTGGTGTGTTGGGGTTTTAGAATATGTAGATCAAGTTCAACGGAGCGGATCATCCATAATATCGCTCAATCATGTGATTTTAGAGGCGTCAAGGAGGAAATCCCCTCCTATGACAAGGATACCCATTAATCTCATATATATATATAGAGTCCATTTCTCATACGGATGAATGCGTATGCATCCCCCTGAAAAGTCTCACTGCAAGGGTTTTTTTGCAAATATTCCAGCGATTTTGTGAATGCGTATGCATCCCCCTGAAAAGTCTCACTGCAAGGGTTTTTTTGCAAATATTCCAGCGATTTTGACGCATTTATCTTCCTCTCTCTCTCTCTCTCTCTCAAAACAAATTTCCCAACTCAAAGCCCCATCACAACCCTCAGCCTCTCAAAACGAAATTCCCCAAACCCTCACCCTCCTCTCCCCAAAGCTCAGCCTCTCCACAAAGAACCCCAGCCGCAACTCCGCCACGACTCCGACACCGCCGCCACGAGATCCCTCCCTCCCTTCCTCCTCCACAACCAATCGCCGCCCGCCTCTCCGCCACGAACCCCAGCCGCAACTCCGCCCCCTCCTCCTCTGCCATTAAGCACTCCTCCCCTCCCTTAAATCCTCAGATTTCGACAAATGGGAACTCACTTCTGGATACTACTCGTCCAACTGGAGGCTGAAGAGAACTGCGAGATACTACTCGATTTCTCTCTTCCCTGATTAATCACGTAGTTGCAACTGAAATTGTAGTTTTATTAACCTAAACCAAACATAGAAACTCAATTCACAAACCATTGACAATCTTACATTGAGAAGGTAATTCAACTGAAAGTATAGTTTTATTAACCTAAGCTACATACAAAGCAACATGTAAACACACTTAACTATTTACAGTTGTAAGAACATTACACAGCAAGAAATCATAGACCCAAACTCAATTAAAGTAACTACGTATAAACTCACATATAGCATGCTCTAAAAAATTGAACAACTCAAAAATCATGACTAAATCACTAGGCAGCAACGAATCCTAAACCTTCTTTCCTCTCTCCGAAGAAATCAGCCACTATGGAACCAACATCCTCCAGCCCAATGCACAGTGGACCCTTGCCAGCCTTCGATTTTCCATCTTCGCCGCCATCTTTGCAGCCTTCATTGCGGCCTTCTCTTGCTTTCTTTTGATCTTCATCCCTTTTGCTTCGGCTCGGAGTTTGGTCAGTTGGGCTAGCAGAACCTCTGCTGCTTCCTGTATTTGCAATCCAAGGTCAGCAACAATTTCTAATAAGAATCATAATTTGATAAAATCAGGAACTAGAACAAAATATTTTATAATATGGATTCTTCCTCATGAATCAGTACAAGCTCTGTTAGAATCAAAATCAATCCTCGATATTAAACAAAGTCGGTACGCATTTGAATTCAAGTTGAACCACGCAAATTAATGAGAAAACAGAAAATTGGGGCGTGATCCTTACCTGAGTTCAGAGAGGGATTGACGAAATCCCGTCGAAGGAGGGCACCTAAGGCTAAATCTAGAACCAAGGAGCTCGAATTTGAGTTAAAGAAGGACCGCAAACCCTATATCCAGAAGTGAGTTCCCATTTGTCGAAATCTGAGGATTTAAGGGAGGGGAGGAGTGCTTAATGGCAGAGGAGGAGGGGGCGGAGTTGCGGCTGGGGTTCGTGGCGGAGAGGCGGGCGGCGATTGGTTGTGGAGGAGGAAGGGAGGGAGGGATCTCGTGGCGGCGGTGTCGGAGTCGTGGCGGAGTTGCGGCTGGGGTTCTTTGTGGAGAGGCTGAGCTTTGGGGAGAGGAGGGTGAGGGTTTGGGGAATTTCGTTTTGAGAGGCTGAGGGTTGTGATGGGGCTTTGAGTTGGGAAATTTGTTTTGAGAGATGGAGAGAGAGAGAGAGGAAGATAAATGCGCCAAAATCGCTGGAATATTTGCAAAAAAACCCTTGCAGTGAGACTTTTCAGGGGGATGCATACGCATTCATAATAAGAATTGATTAAAAATATCCGGTTAAGAAATAAAAATTTAAAAAATATTATAGCTTAAAAATTATTGTCACCATATAAATTAAAGCAATTGCATAAAATTTTACTAATAAGTTAGAGCAGCAAAACACATTAGTAACATTAATTTATAGATGTTTAAATCCATAAAAATAATAAAAGACTATAATATAATAGTTTAGTATTAATTAATTATAATTTAGAAATATTAATATATGATGTTAATAATATTTATAGAGTAAAAGAATACAATGAATTATGTATGGAGAAAATATCAGAATGTTCAGAGATATCATTTAAAAGAATCAAGCTATTTCCATTGTAAATGGGAAAATGACTGAAATAAATCTAAAATTCAAAAAATGTCCATGAACCATTTGAATTGGCATTAACCTAAGGCATGTCTATTAAAGAAGCACCAACTGTGTTACATTAAAAAATAATTTAATAATTTTATCCCAGTCAGAGAAGAATTCTTCATGAAAGATGTAATAAAAATTAGTAAGCATTCATAAATTTCATACTTTGTTCTTCAAATACTAAAGAAATTAGATATTAATATTATAATCTAAGAAAAATTGGTAATAAAAAATACATGTATTTAGTTTAGATATTTATGAAAAATAACAGGGATAGAGCAAATGTAATATTATTGACGTAACAAAAATTCTAATTGGATGTACATCAGAAGAATTCATTATAGAAAAAAAAGAGGTAGCTCCTAATCTTATTTAAGTAATAAATTAATATTTTAAGAAGTATGTGTTGAACATCGGAAATACATTTAACTTCTTTGTGAAGTTAAACAACAAGATAAAAGATTAACGAGCCCAGAAACGATAACAACACAAAAAGTACAACTCTAGCCTAATATCATAATCGAGTAGATGATGAAGATACTACTCTAGAATTGCCCGAGAAAAAGATAAAGGTGGGGAAGGATTGATATTAGCTCAGTAAAAAAAATAAAACAGAAGGAATAAAAGATAATATTTTCTGAATATTTTATAGAATAATTTAATTATTTTGAGTAAATTTAGAAATCTTTAGAATGGAGTTTCATAAGTTTTTTTAGTACTTTTATATGCTTGTGCATATGTTTTTATCATATGAAAGTATACTAGAATTAGCATTAATCTTTAATTTATAATTTCTTATGAAGTCTATCAACAATTAGGAACAAACTTTATATTCTCTTTTGTATCATTATAGCATACTTTTAAGCAATTATTTTGCCTTATTATTCACCTTCCTTGTATAACATTGTTTCAATATTTTTTACTTTTGCAACACTGTACTTTCTCAAGTAAAGTTTGGTTTCATGTCAGCCAAAATAATAAAAAAATTCAAATTAGCTTCAAATTATATTTGTTTTCTATCAATTCAAATATTAACATGAAAATTTAAATTGGGTGTAGCCCATTTAAAAAAACATCAAAAAAAAATTAATCGCAATATTAAAGTTTGGAGACAAAAGTGAGCATAAACTATTAAAATGGAATTGAGTAACAAATTTTAGTTAGAAAATAAGCCAAAAATACTTAATCATGATATTTAACCACGTGCATTGCATGTGTACAAAACCTAGTAAAAATAAAAACATCACTTATTATACAATAAAATAACCATTCATTTAAAGAACCACAGTCATAAAAACTAAAGAAACTAATTAAACATGCAATTAGATTTTAGCCTTAATTAAAGGCCCTCGTCAATATCAATTTCAACAGATTAAGTGAACGACAATCTGTGCCTTTTTTTGGACTAGCCAGATGACAAAAATATAAGATAATTTCTAAACTGCTTAGATGACAAAGAATGAGATACTTTTTATGAAAAAATATGAGTAAATTTTAAACACAAATGGAAAGAGGAGTGTAAATCCTATCAGAATACCCCATGTTTTGATAGGATCGGGGGTAGTGAAATATCATCACTATCGCCCTTCTCCACCTATGTGCGGTTCAGAATGCCCCGCATAGTGCAGGTGTTCTGAGAGAACCCGTACTGCGGAAAGACACCATGAGTTCATTTATCATTTGAAAACTTAAGAGACAAGAACCAAATTCCTAATATTTGGGGTACTCCTATTTATTTTTTCAAAAGCAATTAATAATGATGTTTGATAATTTTTTAATACTTATTGAAATTGCTTTTAGTTTTAAGGTGATGCTTTAGAAGTGACCTAAGAATGCTCTTAGAAAAAAAAAAAAATATGTTTCTGTACCATATACACCTATTAGCTGTTGATAATATTTTTAAGGGTAAATCACAGTAAACACCGATGAACTTTTAGCATTTTGCAATAAACCCCTAATAACTTTTAGCGTTTTACAATTGGGCCCAAGTGGTGCGAACCCAGTCAAGACATTTCAGCGCAACGCGTGTTTTGCTACGTGTTGAAGCTCAATGCACAACACGCGCCAACAATTCCCACCCTCGTCAATGCAGCTTGTAAAATCCCATCAAGCACCGAGCAGCTCATAATTTCATATCACAGTACAAAGAGTTTAATTTGTGAAGAAGTTAAAATAGATGGCATCACAAGGTCAAGCTCGCTATAATGCTGCTCAAGCCTGGGGCATAACTGATGTAACTCATTAATGTTCTTGTGTGCATTTTGCTCCAAAATTTGAACTACATTCTCAATACTAAGCAAAAGTGACTACTTCTGCTCCCTTCTTGTACGTACATTAAAGAAGCCACACCGACACCGGACAAAGTAGAAGTCGTCAAGCAGGGGGCTTCACATGCGGCGCAGAGCGCCCGTGATGCTGCTCAAGTTGTCAAGGAGAAGGCATGAAGCTTCTTTCAGTCTGTACGTAGCAGGATTTGATAATTTTATTGAAATTTGATAGAACTGTATGTTTTTTATTTATATTTCTTTATTTTTTGTAGGCTGGCAAGCAAGTGAAGAGCGCCACGGATGTAGCGAAGAGTACAGTTGGGACGGGGAGAGAAAATAAGGGTAGTGCTTATGAGAGGAATGATTAGATCAAGAGTTTTCGATTTTGAGTCCAACGCTTAATTAGTTTTGTAATATAGTAACGCTGTATGGGCTAGTTCTATGTACTGGAATTCCCCTCTTCCAATTATGAAAGGCTGACAAAGGGAAGAAGACATTAGTGTCTCAGTTACAATTCTAAATAAAGTGCAAAAAATGTACACTGAAATGACATGGTTCAGTAATATGGTTCAATCTTTCAAATTCTCAACCCCTAGTGTTTTTCCCCCTGAGCTATTCATTTTTGTGCCTGCATACTTCTCCTACCCCTTTAGTCTCAGCTTGCCCCTTGAACTAACCAATTCGTCCTTGTGTACGTCCCAAACTATTTTCGGTCTCACACTATCCCCTGAACGATTCATCCTTGTGTACGTCCCAAACTATTTTCAATCTCACACTATCCCCTGAACGATCATTCTAGTCCAGCTTTACCTCCTGAGTTATCATCTTTATCTATTTGAAATACTCGTATTTAAAATACCCATAAATTAGTGAAGGAGAAATAATAACTTGTACACCTGCTAGTTCAGGATATGATAACAAATTACTTTAAAAGGTACAAAGAGACGAATCTAATATTTTACGGCAGTAAGGGCAGTAAGATGAGACTAAAATTGTTTAGAAAGTATGAAGGGACAAATTAAAGAGTTCGGGGGACAAATTAAAGAGTTCGGGAGACAAATTCGGAAGGCAAGTAGGGGCTGAAGCCTCAGGATAATAGATAAAGGATGATATGAGAATATGTGCATAAAATCTCTAGTTAAGATGGCATCAGAATAGTATGATAAAGTTTGAAGAGCATAAATTCTACAACTACGTTGGATAAAAATTACTAACTCGTCATTTTGGTATACAGTAGTATCAAACAGTTGCCTGATAATGTCACAGAATCTTGCCCTGCGGGTATTGGGATGACATCAAAGCTGGAGATGTACAAAGTTTGTGCTATCAGTTATAACCTTTCAAAAGCTTAAACAGTGTAGATTATCGTCTAATTACATTCTAAACTTTGGATTCTAATAGCATGTCAAGGAATGCTATCAAACCTCAACCGTTCCAGCAAGATCTTAGTACAGATCCACAAAATTCATACGGTCTGCGCGCGATATTTTATTACAAACAAGTACTCATGAGAATAACAAGATACCTAGTTTCTACAAGACAGTTGCCTACAAAACTGCAGCGTCAGCCTCACTTGCATTATCCATTGGTAACATTAGAAGGAGAGTACTATTTTCGCGTTATGCATTAACTTGAGGCAACAACAGACTCCTTCCTTTTTCGGCCCCACCTCGGTGTGGTCTCGATTAGCTGATGAGGGACTAACTGCTTCTCCTTCCTCGAAAGTTTCTTGTAGTTGCTGACTCTCAGCTTGGCTATCTTTGCCTCTTCCTCTGGTGTGGTCTCGCGAACCACTACCGTCAACCGACATCTGGGTCTCACCATGATCCCACTCCTTCCTTTGGCGTGGTATGAGAGTCGCTTCAGATATAACCCTTTTCCAACAAAGGCTTAGGCTGTGGAAACACAAGGGGAAAAAGGTTTTATAACTAAAGCTTCAGTTTATTTGCGACTTCAAGAGACCACAGTAAGTTATTTCTACATATTCTAGCCAAATAAAAACGATGAGTCTCTATGCAAAGAAATTTGCCAAGCAATGGCTAAGGCACATATTGTTGTTACATTAAAAAGACAAGACAAGCAATCAAAGACAATTCCCTTTGCAACAAAGATTCGAGCCATCACATGACATCTTAAAACAATTATAGGGGTTTACCAATAAAAGTTTGACTCCTTGTAGACAAAAACCAACAATACATTTTGTTTTGAATATCCATGTATGAGTATAGTCCCACAATGGAAAAAGATAAGAAAGAGTCACGGGTTTAAATAGAAGTTAGGACCACTACCGAGGAATTGGTTCCTAACCTCTATTTAAGGCCCATTAACTCTAGGTTGGGCCTGATTACTCTCCAACATTCTGTACAGAGAGAGGTTAACATTATATTAGATAGATCACTGGTGAAGAAATTCACAAATTCAGGTTACAGTGGTAGTTTCTGTGATTCATACACGATCCATATCCAACGATTACTTGCTTTTGGTTTAGATCCAGATAAAGTCAAATCTCCTAAACAGATTCATAAATATAGGGAATGAGGCAGGTCAGGTGTTGCTTATACACTATGCACAACTTAAAACTTCAGCTTACCGACAAGGAGTTTATCTGGATCCAACCCATGATTATGGGCTGCATTGGCTCGAGCAGAGTGGATAACCTGCAATCAGACCATCAAGTTTTTTTTTTTAAATGAAACTTGCATTAAACGTGATACATGAAGAGTGTGTATAAATATACACATGTATGAACCTGTTGAGAGTATCTTACCTGATACACTGTTTTGGCAGCTCTTTTCACTGTTACTTGCAGCTGCAAGAGAGCGTCTTCAACACGCATTCCCCTAACCAGTTTAGCCACCAAATTGACCTTCTTGGGACTCTAGCACCATTATCCATAAAAGAGTCAAATTAAAGATGTGTATTGCGTTAATTTATGCAAAAGCTAACAATTTTTCATCTATATAATAAGTTGATTCTATATTTCTATGTGTACAACTTATCGCTTCAGGTTGATATTCACAAAGCTACCACGAGGAGTAAAATGTATTACTCATTAAAGTAACAATATCTATAAAATAGTTTATTCTAACATTGAGACTAAGAGGAGTGATGTCTCACTAATTTTCAAGGCTACGAAGCTCTGCGTTCAAATGTAATCCTAGCTTAGTATAATCATCAACAAGATGTCAAAAACCAAAACCAACTCTTTGTGCTATTACATTTCCAGAGCCAGTGCTACTGTATCAGTAAGGACAGTAAACCCGTTACCATTCAATTTCGCACATTAATCTGATAAATGCAATGTAGACTATATCTTTTGGTAACAAAGAAGACTCTGCTTAGAGGTTAAGTTTCCTTGTTTGCCAATGCACGTCTAAGAAAACTGGAGTTGGGAGCCTAGAAATACTCCTTGACTAGGACACATGCCTTGGCCATTAGCTGGACAGTCCCTGACGAATACATTATATCAAAGAAGATTCCCAACATTATTCAGTTGTATGTCCCAAAAAAATCCATTTTTTTGGTAATTACATCTCTATTAGGTAATATTATTACTGTGTCATAAGACAAGTCTCAAGAATCCTTATACACAGAACCTGTAACTTAAATATATACGAAGAATGCAAATAGTAACTAATTAAATCAATTGTTTCCAATAAAAAGTGCTATAAACCAGGAAGACGGATCAACTGCATAACCACCACATGCAGGATGCACCTACAAAGAAGTTAACTCTGAGGAGACTAGGAAGTTCCCTGAACAAACATTCTCTATGACAAAGAAAAAGAATCAAAGGACAAATCTTCTGAGCTATAACATTCATGAGATCCTTTTCTCCACTGCATTAGGATCCTGTTCAGTTCCGAGCATGACTTGTACACAGGGATGTAAAGAACGCTTAAAGTCCACAACAACAGAAGAATTGTGCATGTCAATTCACGAATTTTCAGCCACTAGTCCTTTTCATTGTAACGAGAACCCAAACCATACTTCTACGAAACCATTCTATCATTGAAGATATTTAATTGAAAGGTTTCTAAGAGTAATACACTACGTCTTAAAGTTCAAACAAGTGTCCCTTTATAAATTATCATGTAACTCTAGTCTGATTGGCTATAAAACCTCCATACAGTCCAGCGTCTCTCATTTTATTTTTAAGTTCTTAGGTTCATTGATTTCCAAATTGTTGATAGTGAAGACATTAATATATTCAGACATATGATACCCAAATTATTCTCCAACACATATATAGAATGCCCGGCACAAAAAAAAAGGTACTTGAAGCAAGAAACCCCCACTCTTGTATCTAGAGCAAATGGGGAAATGATCTATTTCGAAAGTTAATCAATGAATATCACCGGAAGACCTTGCCTACTTACAGGATTGAACTTGCAATTTTGCACAAAGTTTGATAACCTTCCCGTCATGTGTCAAAATTAGATACGAGGTTCTATATTTCAAGACCAAGTAAGGTTAGGATTGACGGTATATATATTTCCTTCATAATGTGAGATTATGGATGCAAATTTCCCAATTGTAGTGGTTAAGAGTTTCAAATTTAAACAGTAGAGGCACACTATTGCAAGCTATTATAAAATTCAATTCACGGTGCACAGAGGCGTACAGTTGTTCATGGTGAATTTTATGATCCCATGTATGCAGTGTGATCCGCATGTGTAGCGGGAGGATTCATTCGGATTACAAAGGCAACAGTCTCCATTTTAGGGTGGTCTTCTTTAGACAAGGAAACTTACATCCACCTTTGGGGGCTTCCCTCTTCTTTCTTCAGGCATGCCTCCCTCCCTCTTGCCTACAAGCTTTTCTCAATATATACTCATACATTTCAAGAGCATACAAATAGTTGTAATGCTGTATTTAAGGAAGTCTACAAGGATGCAATTACTCAACGGAACAAAGAAACAGGCAATGCAAGGACCTAATAACTAAGTTTTTTTACGATCTGTATTACTTTGGGGGTAGGTTTTTTTCTTTTTTTCCCTTTTTTTGTTTTTTGTTTTGTTTTTTTTTTTTTTGGGGGGGGGGGGGGGGGGGGTCA